CCTGCTGCCCAGCACTGCTTCCTTCTGGGACTTCTCCTAAGGGAGCCATGGACCACAGACACACTGATGCCAACAGCTCAGGAACAAGTGCTCTGTGGTCTTGCTACCTGCTGCATTCACTGTGATGAGCCAACACCAGCAAGCATTAGGTACCTCTTTAATGCAACGTGCTTTGCTATTCTATTAGCAACGCGACCATAATTAGTAATGCAGAAATAATATTACTCCATTAGTAACACAAAGTAAGTGCAGAAGTTGCAGGTTGAGGTAATCTGCTGGGCTGTTTTTCCAGCAGCTATCTGCTCTTTCAGATTCCCCAGCTCTGTGTTGATGGAGGTGCTTTGCCTGTGAAAAGAGCCAGGAATGGGTCACGGGCCAGGCGCGGGGTGGCTGTGGAACATCTCGGCACCTTCACGGAGCACGGTGAAAACCCAGTGAAAACAAGGGCCAGAAGAGGGTGGACATGAAGTTGACAAGTTCCTCTGTGGTTCCTCAATGGCTGGGTGGAATCTGAGGTTTCCTTACAGGGGTGAAGTCGTGGCCCTGCTTGACTTTATTTGGAATTAAATGTCACGTCTACAAGAAATCGCAGTATTTTGCGTGGCCAAAGCAAAGACCCATGTGAAAAAAACAACCCAGCCAACATCCTCCTTGGCCATATATTATATGTTCTGACAGCAAAGTAACCCTTGCCTCTGGAGAAAACTGGCAGAACAGATTTATAAAGGTTCTTAAGTGAAAAATGAGAAAAAAACCCAACTACTGCAGCAAGGACCCAAACAAATTCTTCTCCAGCTGCCCTGAACTCGCTGCATTTCCTATTCCTGCTTAACAAGCAGGCAGCTGCTGGCAAAGCTTGAGGATAGCCTGAGTGTGCAGCCTGTCAGAAGGCTCTGCCTGCCTCTTTTGGGCAGCAGCAGCTCCCAAGGTGGGATATCTCCAGGCAGCCTGGGCCAAGGAGCCTTGCGTGTTCCAGCCAGGAATAGCACCAGTGACCCGCCTCCCCGGGGGCTGCAAGTGTTGGGTTTGCTGCAGAGGGAAAGGGTAACACCAGTGCCTGCTGTGCAGGAGAAGAGCACCAGACTGCCCAGCCGGGGACTTCTGGGTGTCTTGAGTGGGTGTGAATCACCCCCTGGCTGCCTGGGAGGGCCTGAGGACACCTCAGCAGGCAGCGCTACCGAGACGGCTGCCCAGAGACCCCAGGGGCTGGGGAGCTGCAAGAGAGAAGTTAGCCCTTGATGAGAAGCAGAAGTGCTGAGTTAATAGGCCTTGGCTGTTTAATTGCCAGGGAATGGTCGTTTGAGGCTCAGGTCTTCAGGATTGGCTGCAGCTGGGCATCAGTGAGCGGGCAGAAATGTTTCTCTGGCAGGGAATCTCTCAGATGTTTGGAGAGTAGCAGAGCAGAGCAATGTGTGTACAAAGATGTTCAGCCTCAGCCACCTGCTGAGGGGTCCAGGACTCCACTGAGACTTCTCTGCGCTGGCACAACTCTCTGTGGAGCAGCAGGTAACACAGGGCTGTGCCAGGGTCACAGCAGAGAGAAGAGTTGGTGATGGAGAGTTGTCCCTTCCCACCCCCACATCACATCCAAATGGATTATCCAGCGTCGAGCGGGTTGGACAGAGCAACAATTGTTAGAAAAGCCTTAATAGTCTTGTGAGACCTGTGAAGGAGGCAGCTGGGGCAGGAAGGGATTCAGCCAATGGTCCTCCAGAAGGAAGGTGAGGTATCGGGAGGAGCAATGCTCCAGGAGGCAAGCAAAGCACCAGGAGGATCTTGGAGAAGACTGGGATATGGAACATATGTCAGTACTCAACAGTGATCCCCAGAAAAGGGTGAAGCTGCTGGAGTGGGCAACACTTCCACACTCCCCAGCCCCAGCAGAGGGTCTGCAGGAGGGGCTGTGGCACTGCAGGGACAGCTGGTGAAGAGCAATTAGTGCCAGCAAAGTAATTTCAGCTAATCTAGGAAAAAAGAAAAACCCAACAACTGAAGTGCAGACTTGCTTTCCAAAACCAGTTGTTTGGTGGAGTCTCCAGCAATGCACGCTCAAGGACTGAGCAGTTGCAATGAAATTACTTTCCAAAGCAATCATTTAAAGGACTCTGACTTCTCAAAATAGGTAAGGCAAATACTGGAACTATTATCCCTGCTGAGGATAAACTTCATTATACTAACTGGCACCCAAAGGTTCTGACAGCTCATTTAAAGATACAAACTGTGAGCTTAGGAAATGGTGCTTCAGACAGACGTGCCAGATCTGTGCCAGTTGAGTGTTTTTATCTCTCAGTGCAATTCCCACTGGCTGTAGCTGGAACTAAAAAGACTGATTAATACTGCAAATATTTACCATCCTGGTACTGCCTCCTAATTGTGTATCTCTGCTGATTAATAAAAATGTTAATGGCACTTTCATTGGAGATCAAGGTTCATCTGGAAGGGTTTGAAATAGTGACTTTAATGGGTCGTGGCAGCAAAATGCAACATAAATAGGTTAAATGCCTGTAACCTGTTACTGGAGTTGCTTTGGAAAACAGTTCAGTGCTCGTGGGAAGTGTCAGGTTCACAAGCTGTGGGTGCAGAATCCCTCTGTCACTGCCCCACGGCCGGGCTGGCACACCCGAAATGCCCCTTTCTGTGCTCTTCTGGGGCCTTTTTAACCTGTTTTATACAGAAACAAGATGGAGAAGCAGGACAGAGTCAGTCAGGGGTTCCGTGTGAGTGCATTACCCAGCTGCACAGCCCGCCCGAGCTGCCGGCCTGCCCGCGCTCTCACTCAGGCCCTGAAAGGTTTCACCAACTAATTAACCCCCCCTAATTTGTTGCAACCAGCCTGCAGCGTTTAACCCTTTAAAACACAGCTCTCCGTACAC